AAGATAATCGAAGAGGATGAATTTACTGGCATCATTGTTATCCATACTGACCTATACAACAAGCCTCAAAATTCAATCGAGAAATGCTGGAATGTCGTGAGCGCTGCTATGAAACATCGAATGGCCGCAACATTTGAAACCATGATGGCTTTTCATCAACAGCAAAAGTGACTCAGACATTAGCACAGATTACGCTACCTCGAAGAAGCAATCAGTGAAACAATGTATGTAATTACTTCGCAAATACTGCGTATGAAAATGTACAATAATATAGAGAATCATTTTGCGTATAACTTGGCATAATGACATCTCTAAATGGCGGTGGTGAGGATATGTAAACTGGCTAATATCTAATCATCCGTTTATGATTACATTTCTTATTCGTTCCTTTGTGAACTAATCATGTATCATTTGTCACTAAGATAATTTTAATTTGAAATCCAGCGATTCTTTTTTGAAGTTAATCTTTTCTGAATTGAAGTTCAACTTTTTAATTTGAGAGAAAATGTGCAGTAGACTTGATCTCATCTAAATTACATGCAACAATATACAAAATAGAAGTGGGTAAACCAAATGTTCATTTAAAAAAACTCTTCTTTATTTGTACTAATTCTTAGATTGCTATATATTCTTGTTGTTGATTGTAGAGTTTCAAAGTTTGGTCATAAATAAAACCTGATACTATTCGTTTGGATTATATAATGTTCCACATGAAACAATAAAATTCTTGGGTGTCCATATGAAAACAAATATTTGATTAAAATAAAATTGGTAGAGGTGGACATTTATGGTCCTGAAAAGTTAATTTCAGTTGAGCTATCTGGGGAAGGAAGTGTGGGTTTGTAAACAGTGACTATTATGGCTGATATAGCGAGACTCTTCGGTAAAGCGAATCGACTCCTGTCGGTCACTGTATGTTTATCTAAAAAATAAATACGCTTAAATTCACCTTTATCCCTGCCGTGCGCCGACGGCTTAGTGGTAGAATCTCCGACTGACGCCGATTCAGTCGGGTTTCGTCTAGCCACACTGAAGAGCTGTGATACAGCGAAACAGCCTGTCTGTGGATGACATTATATATATATATATATATGTGTGTGTGTGTGTGTGTGTGTGTGTGTGTGTGCTATACATTTGATCTTTAAGGCTTTCTCTACAATTTGCTTCTTTGCTTATACTGAACTCATGTGCAGTGACATTCACAGACAACTCTAGAAAATTTGGTGAGATCATATCCAGGCTTTCTTTCTAAAACGTATATCAAACTTAACACGACTTTAAATAAGTACAACAAACACATTGCAAATAGAAACCAGTCACTCTGTATTTTCACAAAAGTAAATAATAAATTAACAAAATGAAAAAAAGCATAAAATCGGAACAAAAATAAAAATAAAAATGGTGGTGGCGGATTGGGTGAGGTGGCAAAAATCAAAAACAACTTCAAATAAAACCAGTCGGCGCAACAGCGGCAACAATAACTCGTCAAATAACAGTCAGATGGCATCAATCAAAAAAGGCGGTAAATATGACAGGAAACGCGCGGCAAATAGTGACGGAGAAGAACAGGAAGAGTGGGCGAAGTAAAGTGTCTTCGCTAATCCATTTAAAGCAGACCGGGCCGTTGGTCTGGCTCTCGTTTGCCGCAAGAAATGTTCGTTGGTGTGGAAGACACTATTTCTCCTTGTCAACTATTTTTACTTTGGAGTTTTCTTGATTTTTCCTTCGTTCGTTCCGCTAATATTCAGAACGGAACCTGATTGAAGAACGATGCTCATGGTTCCATTCCCACTTCCACCATTAACCAATCAGACAGAGCCAAAAAGACCACGTGATTATCTTTTGCTTTTTCACAAACTTACTTTTTTTTTTTTATATATATGTATGTGAGTGCGTGTGTGTGTCTGTATGTGTGAAAGGTAGGGGTATAACTCATATATATATATATATATATATATATATATATATATATATATATATATGGACATTGAATTCAACACAGTGCCGACAGTCTGTTTCAATTTTGAATGCAATCTTCAGGCGAGACTATTGTGTCCAGACAAAATATTTTTACTATATATATATATATATATATATATATATATATATATATATATATATATATATATAGACAGAGATATAGATAGAAGCGATAGATATATATTAGTTGTTTAATTTATCGATATATGGTATTTTAATATTCGTCTCTTTTTACTGAGATTATTCCATTTTAGGTATCTGTCTTTATTATAGATAAACCGTATTAAGTCTGTTGATAGATTGAATTTTTTTTTTCTGTTTGCAGGTTATTTAAAGCCAAACAGTATTTTACATTGTAAGATAATAAGGATTCACTGATACAAGTCGTACTAATTAACTCACAGGTGGGGGGGGAGAGAAGAAGACCCGGATTCATATCTTCTCCAACGGTATTTGCGCGTAAGTTAATATAACGAACCCAATTGGAATTGAAACTCGGCTATCCGATTTCCAACTCCTTCCGTGCCATTATCCATAGCACCACCCGCACATCCAAGCTTACAGTACCTACATATAAACAGACATACACGCATACACACATACACATACATACACACAGACACACACGCAAATACATACACACGCATATTTGCAATCAAATCTGTTAATCCGTAGCTGGAAAATTATTATTTTACGTGACAAATATTTTTTTAAACATAATCTCCTCAATGCACTTAATTCGGCGGTGAATATTAATCACATAGATCAAACATAATACAGTGAAAATTTCAGATCAAAATAACTCTTAATATAATTGTCTCGCTTTATAGATTTTCTGCTGAATTGATCAAATTCTAATTGGATATTCACTCAGAGTTCTATCATGCTAACTGAAATATTATCATCCCAAGTCTTTGGATAAAAAGGAAAGTGAGAATATCGTATCTATTTAGATAATTTTAATGTCATGTTTCTTCAGGAAAAATAGCTTTCTACAAATTCCTTTATTACCTGCCAATTGCCATGACTGTCTCTGAAAGATTGTAGATTAGTTTTCCATTGCTTTCTTCGGGATTTTCATCTCAGAGTAAACTTTCTTTTAGAATGGCTGACACCCAAGTTTAAGTACAGTATATCCTGGATAAGTGATGGTTTCATGCCTTTTCCAAAGACGTAATGAAAGTGGGAGCCAGGATTGAAATTGAAGCTCATTCGTCGATTCCAACGACCGTTATGCTACATGCACACCGTCTCTAAAGAATTACAGATATATTTATATAAAATACAACTCACCATATTTCGTGTAAAATTATTTCTCTCCCCCTCTCTCTCTCTTTATATATATATATATATATATATATATATATATATATATATATATATATATATAAAAGTGTTAGATACAATCGTCAGGTGGCCTGACGATTGCATATAGCATGAAACAGACTGTCGCCTCTAAGTGTTGACTTCTATGTTCACTTTTATATTTACACACGCCCTATCTCTGATATTGAGCACTTTATCCCATAAATATAGCACACCTTAAGACTATATTTCTTCATATATATATATATATATATATATATACGGATGTGTCGGTTTGTGTTAAAATATAGTTTTAAGGTATGCTATAGTTATAAGGTAAAATTGCTCAATACAATGTTTCAGCCTGGCGACTGTCTGTTTCATGGTTGAATGCAATCTTCAGGTCTGAAGATTTCATTCAAGCGTGAAACTTACTGTCGCCATTCACTGTTGAACTCTCTTTTCTTTTCACACTGCACACATAACTAACCAAACTGAAAGCAATAATAATATAAAGGGAATTAATATGAGGATAATTCTTCATCACTTTGCCCATTTTCCGTGGCCATACTTATGGATACCAAAATTATTGTAATAATTTGCAAACCAATGTCGCTAACTTTTTCTCTACAACACGACACTACCTATTAAAAAGAACTGGTAAATTTACTAAGAAGAAAAAATTTAAAAACTTCCAAAAATTTCAGAAATTTCTTTTCTTCTTTTGTTTGTTTTATTATCAATTCCCTTGCGTTCTTCTCCTGTTTTCTCTCTCTCTCTCTCTCTCTCTCTCTCTTCAATTTCGTTTTCTTTTCTCTCTTCTCTGTTCTTCTCGCCTTCTCTTCCTTTCTCTCTGTCTCTCTCTCTCTCTCTCTCTCTCTCTCCACTCTCTCTTTCTCTCTCCACAATTTCTATTACAAAAAATAAATATACTTTTTATTTTAAACGTTTTTAAAATTATTTTCATAGAATAATAATATAAGCAAATAATTCGGAACATGAAAAATATTATAT